GGGAGCGACCTATGACAATACAAATGAAGGCACACTTGAAGCCGAAATGGAGATCAAACTTAATAAAGTGCTGACCCGTAGAATGGTGGGCGCGAGGGCCACCATCAACTCAATGCAAATCGAGGAGTAGAGCAACTTGGGAGTAACTTAGTAAATGACCAAATGCACATGAAGGGAGTTGGTATAGAAGATGGAACATGGAGCGGAGACATGAAGCTTTCCTTGGACATAGGTCTAAGACATGAACTCTTGTAGAGGCAAAAGTGGGATCATATTGTTCTATGGGTCCCTTATTCTGATGGAGCGGACTTATCCTACATGGTGCCAAAGATGAAGGGAGCTTCAAGGCACATGCACCTTATCTCAGAAAAGTATTTGATGGAGGAACTAAGGCAACTCAACTTGCAAAGGTGAAGTTGGGTTCAAAAGGCCTTAGCACAAGGCAAGAGGATGCGGAGCGGGTACTCTTAAGGAATATGTCATAGTGCTGTCTTTCAAGTTGCCATGAAGGAAGTGATGCACAACGAAGATTTTACTGGTAGGGGCAAAGGCCCATGATCCAAAAAATGATGCACTGATTTCAATGAAGTTTGTGGACTTCGGGTGTTCCTAAGCAATGGATTATCCTAGAGCGGTGCTTTATCTAGGTGTGACCTAATACCGGGTGGACTAAGATTAATTGCCAAATGAGCGAATACAATCAAAGGTAAAAGAGGCCCTGCGATGTATTGGCAGAGGCCACACATAGAAGGATCACAATTCGAGTTTATCTCATAAGGACCAGAATGTAATAGAGATGTCATCAAGAGGTGACATGGTACAACGGATCATGGTAGAACAGTTCGTAGCAATACGATATGCACAAATCTAATCCCACGAGGGACTATATCATATAGAGGTATGATTGGGAGCTACTGGAAGCTCCACTTCGGTGAACAATATGACGATAAGAAAGACTATGGATTCAAGGAGTGAATGTTATGGTATCGTAGAGGCAAGTCTTCCGTATGTGCATCGAATTTTACATCGGATAAAAACTTTGGTCATCAACATATGGGGGCTATGTACCACCGAGGGAGTATACCGAATGTAAGTACCAGTGAGTCCCATGGGAGGGAATTGATCATATAGAGGTATGATCAAAGCGATTAGAGAGTTGGACTACTCTAGAGTTTATATTCGCTTAAGAGAGCCCGATAAGTCAAATGACAAGGCCGAGTAAGTGAACGTTACTACCAAGAAAGCTAATGAGAACATAATTGGTACAAACCCTGTAACATGATAGCATAGGCTATGCATGAGAGTTGCAGTGTATCTTTCCATGGACCAAGGGGAATTGCTTGGAGAACACAAATGTGTTGAAGTAAGGGATCAAAAGGGGCGAGGAAGCGAAGACAAGTCCGAAGGGACTTAGCTACCCAAAACTAAGCATCGGTTATAATAGAGGTAGACTCGGAGGAGTGTCACAAAGGCAGATCTACCGATCACGAAGAAAGGGATGTAGATATGAGGCGACGGATAGTAGGGCCATAGGCATGGTAGCGCCATGGTATCGTAGAGGCGGGACTTCCGTGAAGTCATCAATCTTTGCTCTCATAGAGGGAAAGCACTTGGTCATAAAAGGGGCTGAGAAGGTGGAGAATGCAGAGACAAACTCTAAGTATTGAGATAAGATTAAAGAGCAGAGACTAGAGAACTTCGTAAAACCGGTATCAACGAGCTTCTCATCAAGATAACCGAAAGTGGAGGACTTGGGTCAATGCAAGTGCACAACCAAGAAACAAAGTAGATAATATATGGTGTTATACCTTTGATACTCAGTGGAGTAGGTAATAGAGATAATGGAGAAGATGGTACAATCCCAAAGGCGACCAAAACTACTAGAGACTTACTCCAAGTTTGGGTGAAAACTTCCTGCATTCCAGAAGTTTGATGGCATTAAGAAGGTGAATTACAGTAGCTAACTCAATATAAGGAGTGCAAATACTTCGAGTGCTCCAAAAGTGTGAGTAAAGAGTAGGCGAACGTGAGTAACCAGCTCGATGCATAGAGTACAACCCTCGAGAAGGTGAGCAAAGTCAAGTAACCTTTATCTTCTCAACTCTTAAGAGAATGGGCGAAACTGAGTACCCAAATTCTCTTATATATCTAGTAGAGGAGCTCTGCATATGTTCAAAGACCCTTTAAAGAAATCGAATGGAAGACAATAGTTATAAATCCTCACTAATTGTGATCAATGCTACTGAGAGTAGATTATCTGCTTCATTTCCTAATAGAATGTCAATCGAAAGTGGAAGTGATGTGAACATACTTGGAAGTGACAATTAAGTGAAAGAATAGTTAATGGGCAAATTTTATGGAAGAAGGACCTAAAAACTTTAAAAGTTTGCGAGGTGATGCTCGTTAAAGCTCCAACAAGCATCCACTTAGTTTAAGCGGCATGAGACATTTGAGAGACTGACGCATACTAAGTATGGTATTTTTCTTTATTTGAAAGATATATATAGGAACCAACAATGATCAACACAACTTAGCCAACCCCACACTAAAGTCAATCATTAGTGAGTTGAAGCAGCATGATAGATTAAAAGTTCGACTACTTAACAATAACAGTGAAGAGTAGTTGGGAGCCAAGAGGCGCATTGCAGCTGGAGTAGAAGATTAAAGACTAAGTAAAGGCAAGGAGTTGCAACGTCAGCAAGGGCTTCGACAAAGACGTCGAAGGAATAAGTGGGAGAGAATATCACAGATAGAATTGTAAATGAAGTATTCGATGTAATGCTTATGCATGTTTATGTCTTTCGGTTTTGTTTATGTTTTACACAACATATAAAGGGCTGATAGTAGGCTTAGCAACCTTATTTTCTTTAGTTTTGGTGGTTATCCTAGGCTTGCAGATAAATGTTGTGTCATGTAGGCACTTGTGGGAATTTCGATCTGTAGTGGACCATTTGTTGTGTGACCGTTCAGAGCTTGTAAAGTTTGTTTATAATTTGCATTAGTTATAAAGTGTTTACTGAAATAATTGCTTGTGAATCCCGAGTAAGACGCTTTCTCTAATATGTTTTCTCTTTTGTAGGTCCTAAGGGGCCATAGGAGGTTTTAAGAAGGTTGACCTTTGCGAACGGACATGCAAGGGTGCCGCATGATCTGGGAAAACCCAGCTAAGTACGTGACAATTCGTTATTAGAAGAATACAATATCAAATGTGATGTACGTCTTTGTTATTTGATTATTGTATATGCCATTGAGATATGTTACATGTTTTATTTGTTATATAAGAATTATCATTATTTATGTGATTCATGAGTTTTATAATAATTTGATATATTATCATCTTATACTAAATTATTAATTTTTAAATATATTTTATGGTTATTGAAGATTATTTTATAATTTTTTAGAGGTTCTTACGAATATATATGGTTACTGATTTGTTTTTAACCTATATTTTTTTTTAAAGCAACATGCTATTTTATAATACATCTAAGGTTTGTGCAAGTGGATGAGATTTTTTTTTATATATTTTTTATAATACATCTTAGGGAGAAGACGTGGTCTTAAAAATATTTAGTATTATAAAGATATAAAATTTAAATTTAAAAAATCTTATATAAATTATGAATGATAAAATGATTATTTATTTTTTATATAAATCTAAGGTGTGACGGTGGCAAAGATTCTGTTGGATAAGGGTGGCGATGCAAGAGGGGGAACACTATCGAAAGGAGGCCATCTCTCCTTCATGAAGAGGAGAATTAGTGGGATGACGATGAAAGAGAGAGAGAAAGAGAGAGCACTCTTAAACGAAAAGAGATGTTAGGATGGAGCAAGAGAGAGAAAGGAAGGAGGGATTGACAATATGAACATGGCGTGTGTGATCGACGATGGTGTACACCGAACTATGCTCATCTTAGTGAGCGGTGATAAATGTCTCGTTACCTATGTAAGTAACGAATCTTAACATTGATGAGAGAGAAGATGGAATTGAGTTCCTTCTTTCTAACTGAAATTAAATATTAAATATTTTTTTTCTAAAATTTTGAAATCGTATACATTTTTTGGGCCCATTAACTTTTTATTATTTTTTAAATTGTTTAAATATCCAGCCCAATTACCTTCGATGAATTGGACTAAAGAATTAGATTTTTGCGGATAATGTATCAAAAATATAAACGGGAGCTCAACTTTATGGATGTAAAGTCTCAATTCAAAGCTCACATCATAATCTCACAGCAGAACATTCTCATGAAATTGTCTATTTCGAGTTTGGGGGACCACATCTCAATTCAAACATCACATCATCAGTGGATACCCGCCTCGTATTGTAGGAAGCTACTGGGACCCACGTGGACTCCACCTGCGGGGCCATGGCTGAAACCGACATCGGGGCAGCGAAACAGCCGAGTAAGACAAACGGGTAAGTGAATGGCTGCTCGTCCAGAAAGCGAACAGAACTCCGAGGCGGTCGAGTAAGGGATTCCCCACCTTCGACCGGCGCTACTTTTCCGTCGGAACACGTTGCAAGACACCTTTGGCTGAACCGTACGGAACGACGCTCGCCCCCACCTCGTACGAAGCGGGGCCCACCCCGTTGGATGAACGCGTCAATCTCAAAAGGCCACGCGTCGTCAATCAGTTTCCCTTCCCTTCTTTCTCGCTCTCCCCTTTTTTTTTTAATCTTTAATCGCCTCTCGTGGGCTTTCTCCACTTTAGAAAGCCGTCGCGATGCGCCTGAGGCGCGGATCCGGCGGGGCGTCCGCCTCGCCGTCCATCGAATTCCTGCCAATCGCCGCTGAGGAGCGGTGGGCCCCACGGAAGGGGAAGAAGACGATTGGTGGGGCCGTGCTCCCGGAGTGGGTGGGTCGGCATCCGGAGGAGCGACCATCGCGCCGTCCATCGACTTCCCACCAATCGCCGCTGGAAAGTGGTGGGCGCCCATGGAAGACGGTTAAAGGCGATTCGTGGAGCTGGAGCTCCGAGTAGGTCCATCGGATCCGTGCCCACTCGCCGAGTGTTGCTGATCTTAGACGATCGCTTCCCCCTCTCTTCGAAGTCCTCTTTTCTTTTCCGGGAAACCCCAGCAAGGGACACTTATGGTAACAAAGCAACAGGCCCTCATAAAAGAAAACCCTTTATCTTTGTCTCACCTCCTTTGTTTGCTCTTGCTTGCCTCTTCCCATCTTCGTCGGTCGGTGAGATCCGAGATCTCCTCCCTTTTCCTTATCTTCCCTGCTTGCGTTCTACTTTGATCTCGTTCTGAATCTTTTCTTTTGGATCGATCCGAGAAAAGAAGCGGGAGGAAGGGAGGGGGGAAAGAAGAGGATGGTGAGGGGAAAGACACAGATACGGCGGATAGAGAACGCGGCCAGCCGGCAGGTGACCTTCTCCAAGCGACGGAGCGGGCTGCTCAAAAAGGCCTACGAGCTATCTGTCCTCTGCGACGCCGAGGTCGCCCTCATCGTCTTCTCTTCCCGGGGGAAGCTCTACGAGTTCGCCAGCTCCAGGTTAACATTCCAAACCCACCCTTTCTCTCCCTTTGCTCTCTTACTGCTGCTGCTGCTGCTGCAGCTGTCGTTGTTTGTGTGTTGCTTCTTGATCTTCTTGTTGCGAGCTCGTGCTTAGGGTTTGGTGAAATGAAGGATGGCCACATCGCACGTGCCCCGTACTCATGCTTTTTTCCGGATTAATATTTTAGCCATCTACTCAAATTTGCAGTGGTTTTCAGCATATCTTTCTATCAATTTGACGTCATGTAGTTTTTTCCTCTTTGAATTACTCCAAACCAAAGGAACTTGGAATTAAGGATACACTGTCTAAACATTATCCCATCGCGATCTAATTAGGTTATCATCATCCTTCTCCCTGTCGACGTCTTCCATACGGCCTATTAACTGTTCTAAGGAGTGAAACCTAGTAGTCTTGGGTCCCGGGTCATTGAATTCCGTCTTTATCTTTTCCCGTTGTGTACTTGTTACTAAGGGAAACAGTATGCCTTTTCCTCATGTCTGTGATCCGGTATACGTGATTTGTGATGCATATGTGATCTGATTTGACGTACAACTACCGCGTGTATATGACTGTGCGAACTCCACAATGATCTCCTATGTATTTTTATTTTCCATACATGTATTAACTCCTATAGAATTAATACGTGATTAGTCCATACATGTATTAACCCTCTTTTACTTTCCATACATGGTACACTAAGTTATTAACTAAGAGTTCAACAAAAAATTTCTTTTTTTTGGTCATATTGCATGCATTAATTGATCAACAAACTTCTAGCTCTATGTTATCAGGGTAGAGAAACAGAAGTGTATTAATTTTGTTTTATTTTGGAACACACTCCATATATTTGAAGTATCTGCATAGACAGACAGTGTATTTATCTTCACCATGAAAAAGACTTTTTTTTTTCATTCAGAACAACATGAATCTTTTGCAGATTGTTTCTATGTTTCATTTCTTTGCCATACCATGGTAATAAGTTGGCTTATCTCAGTTATTAGTTGCCACCTTAAGTGTTTGATGTGATAACAGTATCTTAATGAAATCATGCAGTCCTTTCCCATATTACTTGTCATAGAACATAACTGGGTTAGCACAAAAGCAAATTCTGCATTCGTTTCAAAAATCAAGTGCGTTTCAATAATTCCCTTGCATTTCAGCATTTCACATGTGATCCATTCTCTCGTTTTTTAAGTACACCCTTTTGTAAATGTTACTATGACCTAGGCTTTCAGAATTGAAATGACTTTCATTTTCATATGGTAGAACTTGGAGCCATATGCACTATTCTTGTGATCTTTTGGTGGCCAGAATTTAAACTTTTCATCCTTCTTTTTTTTTCCCCCCTTTTGCAAGATTACCCACAAATGCCTGAAGTTCTTATAAGAATTTATTTATCTTTCATCCTTAAAATCTAACATCTATCCAATATCATATAGCCAGCGTTTTAAACAAGCTAAAGATCGACTCAAATAAACTCATATTCACAGATGAGCTCGGCTTAAGACAAGTGAAGCTAGGTTGGACTAGTCCCAAGCTGTAATATGCTTCTCTGGATTGAATTTTACTGAATCAACTTCTTGTTTGACTGCGTCATGTTAGAAAAAGGTGAGGAGGGAAGACATCGAGTTGTATGTTCGTTGTTGACACGTGGATATATTCCCTACATCGACACTAATATTGGTTCCATGGACTACTGTACCATTTGAAATAGCATGATAGTAATGGTATATATCGGTTCGGGCATTGGCCGATATATAAACTAACTCTATTTTAATGATTCCATTAAAAAAATAAAAAAAATAAAAAGAGAGGCCTAGTTTAACTCGGCGTTTAAGGAAAAAATAAATAAATAAATTAGGGCTCACGATTCTTTCTCATGTTGTTATTATCGTTGTTGCTTAATATGGGATAAATAAATAAATAAATAAATAAATAAACTTGTTATTACTAGTTTAACTCAGTGTTTAAGGAAAAAATAAATAAGTAAATTAGGCCCACTATTTCTTGCTTACCTACGTAAGAAAGAGTGGGGTATTCATAAACCCTAAATGACTTCAAAAATAAAACCAAAAAAGAACTTATCCCGGGTTTCTGAGGTACTGGTGGTACCATCGTCATTACTGGATGGTACCACTGCATGTAGCCCTGCCAACTGACGGTACCACCGCTCAGTCTAGGCAGTACTATCGCTTGGCAGATTGACACTGGGCGGTACCACCGCCCGGGTTTCCCAGAGATGTACAAAATCTTACAGGTGGTTCCACCGCTTGACCTAGTGGTACCACAACCTGGGCTAGTTATAGGTCACTGAATGAGCCTTCCACTTAGGCCAAAATAGCCCTAACTTAGGTCCAATGGGCCCCTAATTGGGTTAGCCTGGTTACATTCAAAACTAACTCAATTAGACCTAAATTACTTTGATCTAGACACAATCGATTATAAACATGAATCCTATGTTGTCCGACATGTCATTGGTTCATTCGGCACTTCGTCTGATCCTTTGGCGTATTGCTCGATTGGCATGTTGACCTCTCGCAATATTCGATTTCCTTGTAGCAATATTTGATCCTTCGGTCCGATGCCCAAACTCATGACACAAAGTCCTTCTAACATGTCAACTAGTCCTTCGACCCGACGTTCAATCTTTTGACATAATTCACTTCGGCCCAACGTCTTATTCTTCCTGCTTCAATCAATTTGTCTTTCTATGATTAAAGTTAGTCCTGTGTCACTCTAATACATATTAGATTATAACTTCATTAATTGATTTCATCATCAAAATCCGAGATTTGACAATCTTTTCTTTTTGATAATGATAACTAATTGATAGTGAAGTTTAAACTAAACTCCCCCCTTCAATATGCCACATTGAAATAAAGTAAACTCGAATTAAAAAAATAATATCCTTTGAATTCAAGTCAAAACAATATTATTGCATGCATTATAATATCAAATCATGAGTTAAAATATCATTACATGAATAATTTGAAATCATCATAATTTTAAAATATTAAAGTATATTATACCATGCATGATTCAAATTTCAAATCATCATCATAATTTCTCCCCCTTTGTCATCAATAAAAAGGAGAAAAGTACAACCAACAATTATTTTTAAAACATGCAAGCTAGTAATTTAGCAAGTTTTATATCACTTTAGAACATGCAAACTAGCAAATTTTTAATTATTTTAGAATATGTAAACTAGCAAGTTTTTGAGATGTGTAAACTAGCACTTTTGGTTCTCTTGAGATGTGCAAGCTGGCAATTCTTGCTTCTCTTTTGAGATATGTAAGCTAGCAATTCTTTACTTCTTTTGAGATGTACAAGTTTTAGCAATTCTTGCTTTTCTTGAGATGCGCAAGTTAGTAATTTTTGCTTCTCTTTTGAGATGTGCAAGCTAGCAATTCTTCGCTTCTCTTAAGACGTGCAAGTGTTAGCAATTCTTACTTCTCTTGAATGTGCAAGCTAGCAATTCTTGTTTCTTTTTTGAGATGTGCAAGTGTTAGCAATTCTTACTTCTCTTGAATGTGCAAGCTAGCAATTTTTGTTTCTATTTTGAGATATGCAAGCTAATAATTCTTTGCTAGATGTACAAGTTTAGCAATTTTTACTTCTTCTTGAAGTGTGTAAGTTAACAATTCTTTTTCCCCCTTTGTCATTATAAAAAAGAAGGAAATAATATAATATTGTAATTCTTTTTCCTTTACATTAATTTTTAAATCATGACAAAAAAATTATCAAGAATAAATCAATTTGGTGATGATGTATATATAATTCATGAATATAAGGGAGTCATTTGGGATAAATAAATTATGACATGAAAGATATTAATATCAAATCGTGAGTACCAAAATACATGATTTATTTTAACAAATCTCCTCTTAAATAACAAAATTTTTTTTAGGAAATCAAATATTAAAAGATCTTCAAAAGAAATTTTAAGTCATGAATCAAGAGAAAAATCATAATTTATTTGAATAATTCTCTTTAATAAAACGAAAGAATTATAGTGAACGATCTTGATTTATATAAAAATCTCAAGTTATAATTATCAAGATCATGGTTTGTTTGTATAATTCTCCACTTTAGTAAATGATAAAAAGAAGAAATCATAGAAGATAAAAAAGATTTTGATTCCCATAGAAGATACCTAAGTCAAGAAATCAAGAGAAAGTTCATGATTCGGTTGGAAAAATCTTATTCAAATTCAAATCATCAAAATTACTTTTATAGTTCAAGAGATTTAAAAATATCATAAATAGATTCATTAATATCTTATTAAAAAATTCATAAGCTTAAGAGATACAAAAATTTTTAAGAAAAATATATATATTTTTTGGTAGTTTCAATTCATGCGATTGATTTCATACAAGTATGCCCTTGTCTTTTATGCTAAATCCACACATCATCGTTTAAAATCGAAAAACAAGTTTCATCACAAAAATCATCAAGATAAACATTTAAGCATTTATAGAATTATTCTTATTTGGTATGTAAGCATTACATTCAAATTTAATTTTATATCACTTATTACACAATTGCTTAATGAGTTATGTCTACTAACAAAACATCTTCAATCAAAGATTTGATTTGTTATAAATAATTTCAATACTAATGATTATTCCTTTGTTGTTTCAGCTAGTGAGCTTTGAAAAGTGTATTGGATCTCCGGTCATAAACTTTGAGCATCCATTATCAAAATTTTATTTTTGCTTCTAGCTTTCGATTGTAGACATTTCTATAAGAAATGTAGGTTTTGCTATAGGTACTCATTTGACTTTGAGGTCCTGTCTTGTTTATTGGCATTAAGTCCTTTATGGTTCTTTTAGGAACCCAGATAAATTTATGCGAGCTATAATTTTTGAATGAACATTTATAAGCAAAATGACTGTCTACCACGAAAATTACACTTAGCCTTGGGGGGATATGTAATGTTGATCCTTTAACAAAAATAGTTGGCTTTTGTTGAGTGTTTCTCATAAAGTCGATTCTTTCCTTTCTACGTATATGACATTTATTAGCAATAATCATGTTTAATGATTTGTTATCAATTTTAATTTTTTTAAAAGTTTATTGTAATAACAAATTTTCCTTTTTGCATTATCTAATTCTTTACATTGAGTACATGGAGTTAACAAGCATTTATCATACTTATTTTTAAAAATTTTAAATTCATTAGAGAGAGATGCATGATTCTTTTTTAACAATTTATATTTTTATCAACTAATTTAAAATCATCATATAAATCATAAAAAGTATTTAGTAATTCATTGTAAGGTAAATGAGTTTCGGTTGAGTCACTTACCTCATCATTAAAAGCCATCAATGCGTAGTTCGCTACCTCGCTTTTCTTGGTTTGCTCCTCGTCTATGAATGTACTTGATTCGTCCCAAGTCCTCTTGAGTGTTTTCTTCTTCTTTGGTAACTCATTTTTGGAGTGCCCTGGCTTCTTGCATTCATAGCAATTTATTGTGCCCTTTCTGAGTTCATTTTTAGATTCTTGTTTTAATTTAGTCTCGTTCTTTTTCATAAACTTTTTGAATTTTTTTGTGAGTTCTATGTCATCTTCACTTGAGCTCTTGCTTGAGTGATCTTCTTTGGTTCTAAGTGCAATAACCTTTCTATTCTTTGGAAGGTTATCCTCATATTCATCATGTGCCAAATAAGTCATTTCATATGTCATTAATGATCAGATGAATTCTTCTAGTGGAAAATTGTTTAAGTCCTTTGCCTCTTGTATTGCAGTTACTTTCAGATCCCAGCTTTTTGGAAGGGATCTTAGAATCTTATTTATAAGTTCAAGATTAGAAAAACATTTGCCAAGAGCTTTCAAACTATTAATGACATCCATAAAACGGGTGTACATGTCTCCAATGGTTTTGCTTTGCTTCATTCGAAATAATTTAAAACTATATATCAAAAGATTAAATTTAAACTCTTTAACTCTACTTGTGCCTTTATGTGTGATTTCGAGTATGTGTTAAATATTATATGGAGTTTCACATATAGAAACACGATTAAACTCATTTTTTTCTTAAGTGTAAAAACAACCATTCATAGTTTTGACATTTAATGAAAACAATTTTTTTTCAAAATTACTCCATTCATTCATAGGTTTAGAGGTGTTTGAAAATAAAATTCAACTATATTCTATAAATTAAAATCCATAGAAAGCAAGAAAACTCTCATACGTGTTTTCCAATACGTGTAGTCCGTCCCATTGAATATGGGAGGATGAGTGATAGAGTATCCCTCTAGATTGTCGGTAAAAGTCATTCTCTTGGGTGTTAAATCAATCGAGAAAAACTTGGCTCTGATACCAACTGTTAGGACCGTTTCGACACTGGGGGGGTGAATTAGTGCTTTCGATAAAAACATCGATTTTGAAAAATTTTCGTTCGATAAAAAATCATATTGGAAATGTGCTTGACTTAGAGTAAATAAACTAAACAATTAACTCAGAGTAAATGAGCTAAGCAATTAACTCAGAGAGTAATAGCAATAAAAAGCAGAATGTAAATGCAAATCGAGTTTATAGTGGTTCGGTTGTCGTGACCTACATCCACTCCCGATTCCTCTTCCGTCAAGGCTATCGGTGTTCACTAACGATCTTCTTTTAATAGATGAAGATCAACTACCCTATTTACAACTCCTTTTTCTTTTCATAGGTTTAGGAGATAACCTTTACAAGTCTCACATCTCTCTTAGAATGATCATAAAACTTTAAGAGGAGGAGAACACTTAGCACTTTTCAATCCTTTTAAACTCAGAATCACAGCCTCCTTCTACTTTATTTCTTGCTTACCCAAGCAGGAAAGAGTGTGATATTTATAGACCCCAAATGACTTAAAAATTAAGCTAAAAAAGGTCTCATCCTGGGTTTCCGGAGTACTGACGGTACCACCGCCTGTAGCCCTACCAGCTGGCGGTACCACCGCCCAGTATAGGAGGTATTACCGCCTGGCAGACTGACACTGGGCGGTACCATCGCCTGACACCGATGGTACCACCGCCCGGGTTTCCCGGAGATGTACACTGTCTCACAAGCGGTTCCATCGCCTGACCTATCGGCACCACCACCTGGCCAAGGGTCATTGAATGGGCCTTCCACTTGGCCCAAAACAACCCCAACTCAAGCCCAATAGGCCCCTAATTGAGTTAGCCTGGTTACACCTGAAACTAACTTAATTAGACCTAAACTACTTCGATCTAGACACAACTGATTACAAATATGAATCATATGTTGTTCGACATGTTATTGGTTCATCTGGCACTTCGTTCGACGCATCGTCCGATCCTTCGGTGTATTGCCCGATCGGCATGTTGACCTCCCGCATCATCTGATTTTCTTGGCGCAATGTTCGATCCTTCGACTCGATGCCCGAACTCATGACATAAAGTCCTTCCAGCACGTCGACCAGTCCTCTGGCCCGACGTCCAATCTTCTGACATGATTCACTCCGGCCCAGCGTTTGATTCTTCTTGTTTCAATCAATTTACTTTTCCATGATCGAAGTTAGTCATGCATCACTCAAACACACATTAGATCATAATTTCATTAATTAATTTTATTATCAAAATCTGAAATTCAATAATAACAACAGACCCAAATGGATATAAGAAAGAAGAAGAGCGACAAAAAGAAGAAGAAGAATAATAAGAAGCTTCGCTCAATCTCTTCTTGTTTTTACTCTTTTATCTTTATAGAGCTTAAGAAACTCAACCTTATTGTTCATACAATAGAGTACCTTCTAAATTGAGCATAAAAAAATTTGGTTCCTTGGGAACTCTCTCCTGTTTTGTAGGTTTCTTGGGGGAAGGACGCTTGTCCTTCAGTGGGACTCTTGGATCTTGTTGCACCCAATTATATTGGGATAACTTAGGAGTCCTATAATTATAACTCAGGAGTCCTATAATTGATAAGAATTTGACTTTGTCTATAAACATAGTAAGGAGTTATCGGACCACATTGTTTTACGTTGACTTTTTATATGTTCTTTGGTTGTTAATCTTTGGTTTCTCTTTTAGTTTCAAGTTCTTCTCGCCCAGTTTGAAGTTCTTCTCGCTCTCTCCAACAAGTGGTATGAGAGCCTAACATGTTCAATCCAAAAAGATAAAAGGGTTAATTTTGATCCCATATTAAAATAACTAGATTAGATTATTTTAATTTGACTAGTCTTAGTTCTCTTTTATTTAAATGCTAACTTACCTAATTTACTAGAATATTTAGGTTATTAGAAAAAAAAAGAGAGGTCGTTTAATCAATCTTTTAATTTCATTATTTCAAACACAAATATTGCAACCTTTTAATTGTACAATAATTTTCTTCGTCTGGCTCAATGGTTAAAAATCATAATCTATACAAATATTTACCTGTATGTATGTTGCTCAACATTTTATTGCATGAAAATCAATCTATGTCTATATTAATGGTGTGGACAGAATCTTGAACCCATAATCTACACAAGTTTGTACATTGTTGAAACTAGTAAGTTTTTATTTGTTTTGACCAACACTAAAGCAACAGCATTACTTGTTCCACTATATGAAGCTGAATGTACTAACTTCTTGTTGTTGTTTTAGAAATGGTAATCTTGATCTTTTTTCGGAACTATATCTTTTGAGAATGACAATAAGTGCCTTTTCCAGATGTACATTCTCCCCATTAGTTTCATGAACTGACCTCTATTACCTTTATTCCTCGAAATATCAGTGTACAAATGACTATTGAACGGTATATGATGCACACAAAGGATGCTGGTATCAGTAAAAAAGCAACAGAACAGAGTACGCAGGTACTTCTTGATTCTTTGTTTAAGAGGTATTCTTCTGAAACTCTGGAGCCAGTGATGTCAGGTATGATATAATGTTCTACAAAAAATCATATAATTAATGCAAAAATGAAGGACACAAAAGGCTGCAACACTTTTAGTGGCATATGTATAAAGCTTTCAATGTTGTATCCATCATGTGCTTATTAACTTCAGAGTTCACCAAGATAAGAACAACGCTGTGAAATATGGCTGGCTGTTTGTAGATCTAGTTTCACAGTAAGAATACTCTGCTAGTTAGTCAGATCACATTGGACACAGCCAGAATGACATTTGATATCTTTATTTGCCAAAGATTCATTTAAATATCAATTTGTATATTGTTTCAATATTCTGAAATCATGATACCCAATCTGCTGCAGTTGAAGTTTGAAGCCACAAGCATGACAGAGAGGATCAAATTCCTTGAAGATCAGAAGCGGTGCTGTGAATTGGCTCTTCTCTTTTTTCCACAAATAAAATCCTCTTTTGGTGAATGCAAAAAAGTACAAACAACTCACCTGTAGAGTTTAAACGCAGGAAGTTATTGGGCGAAGACTTGGTATCATGTTCGGTGGAGGAACTGAATGAGCTAGAGCTTCAGCTAGAGACAAGCTTAAACAGCATCAAGCAAACAAGGGTAAATATGAGTAGCAGCCATTTCATTTGTTTTGGTTAAGACTTCACCAGTAATGTCATGTTCTTTTGTAGCGACGACTTTTACTCGAGAAAATTGCACGGCTAAATGAGGAGGTAATTTACATTTTTTACTTGCTGTACCATTTACAAATATATCAACTTAATATTTCACTCAAATCCAGGAGACAGAGCTTCTAAAGGAGAACGCATTGTTGCGGCAACAGGTATGCCGACAGAAAAAAAAAAACCTAAATACTACTCCAATATATATAACTTGAAATTGCATATTTAGGTGAAGTACAAGTCGGAAGCTACGCCAAAGCAAACTGCTATCCAAGAAGCTGATTTGGATGATCATGCGAGCCAAGAGAAGAATATGGAGGTGGATACAGAGCTGCTGATTGGAATGCCAGGAAGTGGTTAGGCCAAGCAAACAATATTGTTTAGTAAGACAAAAACAGGTATGTTCATGTCATATATGCAATCTATGTACCTTAAGAGCAATAAATTGATGCAAGATCTGTATTTAGTGTATTATTGGCAAAGTGTAGAGTAAGTCATTGTAACAATATCCGTTACCACTGCCTTTTTCTTGATATATCTGACACAACTTTTTAATAGAGAAACCAAAGTTGTTTGCAAAATCAATGAATCGATGTTTTCTTTCTAAATCGGATCTTATGCAGTGGCCGTCCCTCGTGATGTGAGGCCGTAAGCTGGACCCGCATCTGTCTCCGGTTTCTCATGTCGTATTCCTTCAGTAGCCTGACATCGTGCACGCCTGTGCTCTCTTTCGTTCATCAAGAGAGTGTGGGATCCATTTGGCCTGCCTTCGAGAACGGTAGATTTGACCTTGCCAAGGTACATTGGAGCCACCACAAGTCTCAATCACCAGCGTTTCCCTTCGGTAAAAATGAAGGACACAACAATAATTCCCAGGAAACCACGAATCCCTCAGCCTATCAGGTGTACCTCACCTGCTCCTGGCCTTCCGTCCCCATCATCTGGTCATGTCGACGATGATGACGCGCGCCACAGTCACACCCGTCGGTTCTCAGTCGAGGAGGGACATGTAGGTGAGTACTCCATGCCGAAACTCAACTCACGAGTAGTGGCGCACCCACGTCCTGCTCCCTGGACGTAACCCAAGTCGTGACTCGAGTTGCAGCGATGGCCACTGTCGTTGTGACACGGTAGCTACCAACGGATCTGCGAGAGGCCTGAGAGCCTCGTCCGAGTCTCGACACGTATCAGCCATCGGAGAGAAAACACGACACACAGTTCCAGGAAAAGGTGGAGCATCCGGCTCCCCTACGCCCCCGTAGGGCAAGGACGGCACTAGGCGGAGTCAGATGAGGTTGGTGGGGATTTCAGAGTCGAAGAGGAAGGTGGCGATGGTGAAACAAGAGACACGAAGCGTCCCTCTCTTCTCCTTAAATATTGGGAGCAGCACTCCGAGAGGAAACCTCGTAAGAGTGAGTGGTCGCGAGCATCTCGTCAGCATCATCATCAGATGGGGAGAGGAAGAGTGGAGCTGAAGAGGATCGAGAACAAGATCAACCGGCAGGTAACCTTCTCGAAGCGCCGTAGCGGCCTCCTCAAGAAGGCCTACGAGCTCTCCGTCCTCTGCGACGCCGAGGTCGCCCTCATTATCTTCTCCAGCCGCGGCAAGCTCTTCGAGTTCGGCAGCGGCGAGTAATTCCTTTACCCGCTTCATGCATCGCATCTTGTAGCTGCCGCTCCATTTATATGGGTGGATAGCTTACTTCACTATGGGCTGTCAGTTAGGTTTCCTTTTCCATGAATGAGAGGGAGGAGGAAGGATACTGTCTCTTTAATTTATTGCTTGGTGAACAGCAAAAGTTGAGACATCCGAGTATCGAAAACTGCATTCAACTCCCTTCCGGGGTGTTAGATACTTTTGCCCACTTCAAGGAAACCAGCCGACCAAGCCAATCTACATACCCATTGTTTTCTCTTTCTTCTGTAGTGCCTTTCCTATTCCTTCTCTAGATGTCCCTCAAACAAGGCTTAGGTATGGTGTATAGTTCATACATAGACGGAACGGGTTGGGAATAGAAGGAATGAGTGTCAATCATGTAAGTCCTTTTTTTCTGTATCCAATTCCTTATTTTCTTTCCTTGCTCTGCCCATCACTTAGGTTGCAGATATAGTTTGGAGTTATTACGTAGGTTGTTCTCTTCTTGGCGACTTGGGGTTCCTTTGATTAGCTGCATTATTATCTGCTCAAGAATCAGAGAAACAAGTTAAATTAGATCGGAACTATTTCGAGGTTGGATAGATGCCGAAAATGCTGCTCTATTCCTATGGGAATCCATAGGAATTTCTTTGGTTGATCTATGTGAAAGGGAAGAGAGGTTCTAGATATAGGCTACAGATTTGCTTCATTACCCAAACAGTTCGTCAGGAAAAAGACACACCCTCATGCATGTATGATCTGCAATGGTATGATCATGGACGAAGAAAGGAAGCTGAAAAGGATTTGTAAGATCTGTAGTGGGATTCTTTGTAGATCATGAACCAGTGAAAAATATAGCGCTTACCAACTAGCTATTTCTTATTGGTAGGGACGCCCTTTTCAGTAAGCTGAAGCCAACACTTCAAAGCTGTAACCAATACAATCTGGTTGTGGCTATAAACATAGAATACGTAACATTTAGAGAAAGCTGGGAAGTATATTGATTTCACTACTTCTGAATCAAATAAATGAAATATGGCTTGAAGATAAGCTGGAAGGTGTTCTTACAGATCGAGGGTTAGGATGACTTGTTGCCGCCAATGTCCTTCGAAGTTAAAAACATACTGATGGTGTGGTTTCTTGCGGTGCTGTCAGGCAATCAAGCACTGAAATAAGGCTCATTTTCCTTCAATCTGTGGCAGCAACAAAAAATCTGCTTGTATTAGGGCCTTGTTTTGATGCAACAAAGTGTTGATCATATTTGTGACCCAAAATTCTTTGGTAGATTATCAACAAACATTTAGCTCCATGTCATGTCAATTGTAGTTTAGTTTGATGTCATAGTCTAAGAACAATGATAAGTGATGGTTCTTTTCTTTATGATGAAAGAAAATGCTGGTTCATATGTAATTCTTTCAAATCAGTTTTATCAGGATATTTTTAATATAAATCATATTTGATTTTGTTAGTTTTTGACTCACTGTACTGATGTTAATTCTAAATCTTTAAAGTCATGTTTTTTGGGATACTTGGACTTCATAATGGCCGAAAGAACATTAAAAAAAAATTGAGTTATGTTGGAATTAGTCACTTGAATTTGTTGTGGAAGATCAAGAATCGAGTAGTAAGCTTCAATCTACTTATCTATGGATAGATAAAATATAGTTGCTCAAGACAGTTGTTTCAAGTTAAAGATTTGATGATGTCCTTTCCTAGTTGTTCTTTGAATCCCTAAATTTTGTTGTCTCAAAGTATTACTGAATTATAATGAAAAGAAAATGCTAATGAATATTAAAGAAATTGGAGCCGAGAGAGCTGTCAAATTGAAATTTGATTTTTAATATTTTAATATTGTTGATAAGCTGTAAATGAAGCTGCATTTGGCATTCATAATAAATTTTAGAAAATAAGTAGGAACTATGTTTCAAGGCATAAAAATTCCAGGAAGAAATAACCTCAATTGGCACCTGCAAACTCTCAGAAAATACAAAATTGATGCATAGCATGTTAAAAGTGCTTCTTCCATCTCGTCATGTGAAATGAATCAATACATCAGTACAACACAATCTGATGAGCAAGCCATCATAAATGAACATAAGTCTTATCAGATAATGATAAGCTTAACAGTGTGATGGTTTACTGAAATCTCTAGATGAGTTTAGAACACAATTTGAATAATATATATATTCTCTCAATATCTAATCCCAAGTCTGAAGACCAGAGTTTTGTATGTGTTAGAGTCTCCTAAGATTCTTAAATGAACATTATTGAGTGTATTATATTGACTGGTAAGCCAGATGGAGGACATTAATACAATGTTCTTAATGAAGTCAACCATTTGGTGCTTAGGAAGCATCCTATATGTCCAATTTGAGTATTATAGCTGACATGAAGTTATTACTTGATGTAGTTGAGAGCAATCAAACGTGGATAATAACAATTAAACCTAATGTAGCACAATATTCTAGGAGACCAGAAACATGTAGGTGATGCAGAAAACAAGATGAAGAGGATTAAACATGTAACTCAATATTGTTTGGCAAAATGTATGATCATATACACTTTTGCTCTTTATTGAAATGGCTAGTGGTTTCCAGAATTAGCACTTTGAATGAAGCACAGATCACAGCAACATGAAGAAGAAGAAGAAGAAGAAAAGGAACATAATCTTGGTGAATAAGTTTATTTTTGTCTAAGACTTGAGAATTTATCTGATCAGGTAAAGATGTCTTGTGACTTCTGAGAGTTTAATTCTAGTCTTGATTAATGTTATCCAAAATGACTGTGGGTTTATGCTGTAAGAATGTGTAGAAGTAAGTTTGGGCAGCATGATCTTCTCATGATGTCTGTTATCATAGTGAATATAATAAACTCTGTTAAAACTCTAAGAAATCAAACCTGCCTATTTCTAGAGAAATTCAAATCCTTTCCAACAAAATAATAGACTAGAAAAAGAAAAAAACATGGACTCAGTTTCTTGGTGCCTTATGGTGATTAAATGTCTTAAATCACAGGAAGAAGATGAGTAGCCTCCCATAATATGCCAAGAAAACTTGCTCCCATTAGAGTTAACATAAAAACAACTCTCAATTACATCAATAAATTATCCTAATTTAATTTAATTTTTCAAAACAAATAAAATGTGAACAAATATAAATAAATTCATATAGAATTAAAAATTATGCAAGAAGCAACTTGTGTATCCTAACATTATCATACATACATTGACAAGAGATCAAAAGTATTCCTCCTATTATGATATATGAATTGACAGCTAAAGAATGGAAATTAATCGAAGATGTTATAGAAAATGACAATTTTGTTTTCTGTTCTTTGAGCAATGTTCAAATCATTTAGTCAGGATCTTGTGACCTACACATATATAAAAATCCAGGTATAAAGTTTATATGATAACTGTATCGAAATCGATATGTCTGAGAAAAAAAGAAAGAACAAGCAAACAGAAGTTTATATATTGTTTGTTACCTTACATGAAATGCAGCAATTGAGATATAGTTTCTTGAACTTACTGCATATATTCAAAACCAACATGACAATTCCCAATAATTATTTTCTAGGATTGCCACATTCTTTTATGTTAAAGCCATCATACTGCATTTTTCTTTGTGTGCTTGATTATGCTTATGCAATTAGACATAATGAAATTGTTAGTTTGATGACTTGTTATATTCTATGTTTGAGCCTTTTTGACGTTTGACGAATTTGTTCACCTTGAAATCCATAACACTTTGCTCCCATCCTGTTCTCAAATCTTTGATGAAGCGTGATGTCCATTAGTCCTCAGTGTGATTATTCAGGTTCTTAATCTTTCAGATCAGTCTTCCCTATGTCTTCTATCACATAACTTGATCAATGACTAGAATTCCAATGTCTCATAAAAAGAAGAAAATATGTTTCAGCTGAAGAAAGAGTAGAACAAGAAAAGGACTTTTCCTTGACATATAAAGATCAATCAAACACATCATCACAGTCACTACAAAAATATCCCTGGATTTCTAGATCGAATAAAAAACATTATTTTTCTCCATAAGGAACCTTTAAAATATGATCTGCTGATATTGGTACCAAAAAAATTTTAGTCAAAGCATGTCAAAACATTGTAATCTACACCAATCTATCTTTAGATCCATCAGTCTGTAACAATTCGAGCTAAGCAGATTCTTACCTTGATGCTGAGCTTGCAGCAGAGTGGTAGGAAACAGCTTGTTGTTTCCCAAAGCTTGGTTTTCTACTAGAGATGTTTTAGACTGCCTGCACTGCCAAAATGCATTGGCCTATCAGTGAGTGAGTGATACATAGTACATGTACAGTAATGCTGCTGCAAACCCTAATGTTACAAGACCTACTTACATCATGTTGTATCATTTCCTACCTCGAGCACCCCATCAACTTATCTTTGTGAAAGCTGGAGAACAAGTCCTGTTCACAGTGTCAGATCTCCATTCTTTTTGTGCTCCGTTATATCATGTCACTGAAACGACCATTGCTAGGGGCAGTGCTATCACTATAAAGTCTCTTCCAGGAAATATGGGTACTTTGTTCATCCTTCCTTTTTCTGTCTCTCTTTTCATAGCAACAAGACAAACTTCCCACCACCACCAATATCACTCTAGTATCTCTTTCTTCAAAGCAGGAAATGATATTGCTTTTCCAAATCAAATTTAATGCTCTCAATGCACTTTTCTTCATATCATTATTATTACTCAAGTCACAGTTGCTGCATGGAATTGCATGGGTAGACAGGTACAACATATCAGCAGAAGGCTTTTCTCCCAGTTTCCTGGATCCGTAGAATCGGAATTCATCACTATGCTACACAGTTGAGATGAGAATAAAGAGCTTGTAGACAAACAGTCTCCCTGCAGGCGCTTCTCTCTAAGAATTTGATGCCATGTGACTGTATTGGTTGATCTGAAACCTACAGAAACAACAAGCAAATGAAGATGGCATCACCATCCATCTCTTTTTGAGGACTATGGACTGGATTAAACAGTGTTCCTTTTTGCTATCATGTTTAGGCTCATCCTATCACAACTCTGAAATATTTTGGTATATGATGCATAACCTGATATGTCATTTTTTACTAGGGTATGTAAAACACTTGAGCGGTATCAAAGCTATCGTTATGCATCTCAAGAAACTAATGTGGATTATCATGAAACTGAGGTAAGTATTTGCCTTCTTCAGAAGCAGCCTAGATCATTTTTCTTTCCATGGTCATATACATGCTTGTATAGCTATCATTACCAATGATCTGCAGCTAAGCTCTGGGTATATGATGGGATACTAAAATTTCAGTGCCAATTCATATGTTCACTAAATAAATATACATAATGCTAACTTATCTTTAGTGTATGATGCCAGACTAATTCCTCTTCAGAGCTAGTAAACCAAAGTCTGTAAAATGTAGTTAAACATGAGAGTAAGTTCTTTGAGCATCAGTAATCTATCATTAACTTTGTTCTTCAATGAAACTGAAGTGCATTTAATTGTATTATATGGTACATAGATTCATGTCAAAATAATCAACTTGATCTGTTAATTAATAAACATTCAAGATATAATGGAAGCCTTTGAACTATAAATGATAATTTGGATTAGGAAGATCTGCAAGGGCCTTAGAGGGCACCAATTATTACATATATCAACTGTTACATTGACATGGACCAACGAGTGTGTATGTATATATGTGTTATCTTATTCTCAAAAATGAAATATGGAGTGTGCATGCATATAGGATCTATCAAAAGCATGAAGTTAATCTTGAACAGATTATTGACCTCGAAGAAGGATTCTACGGTAAAATGAGCAGAAGAGATTGGTATTGCAAGATCCCCATCTTCTCTAGATAAAATTTTATGCTGAGTCGTATTTTTTGACATGTTTCCTAAATTCATCTTGCCTCACACCAAGGAAAATAAGTTCTGACAGAATATTTTTGGTGGATTTTCCCTGTATTTTCCTCTTTTGACAGCTTTACTCATCACGACTGCAGATTCCTAATGATAGCAATTCTTTTGTTGTTTCTTGTGTTAAGACACAAAGCTGGTATCAGGAATTTTTCAAGTTGAAAGTAAAATATGAGTCTCTGCAACGATCACACAGGTCAGTTTCTTTTATTGGATCATCAACACTTGTTTGACTTCTATAGCATGTTCTATAGATCTGTTGATGTTTCACTGGAGAATCAACTGCTTATGGCTGAAACTACTATCAAAAACAAAATGTAAACGTGAATTATATTCAGGCATCTGCTTGGTGAGGATCTTGGAACACTAGGTGTGAAAGAACTGCAGCAACTTGAAAAACAACTTGATTTGGCATTGTCTCAATCCAGACAAACAAAGGTATTGACTTGTCATTGTCTTCTTGCACAGCATTTAACTTATTCTTTTCCATCTAATTCACTAGTGTAAAGAACCTTAAATACATGATACAATGTATTTTACCTCTTAATTTTTTGATTCCATTCATTCTAGTTCTTGATTCTTTGTATGTTCAGAAGATTGAACGTAGTGTACCTGATTGCTTGGAATTTGCTGACATTTTTTACCCACTTTTATCTATGCATGAGATAATAGGTAATGATGAAATTGCAGATGAAGACATAAATTTGTAGGTAGTATAAACTTTGGCTTCTTCGCCTTCTCTTGCCTGATTGCTTGGGATTTACAGACACATGCTACCCACTTTTATCAATACATGAGATAATAGGTAATGATGAAATTGCAGATGAAGGCATAAATTTGTAGGTAGTATAAACTTTGGCTTCTTTGCCTTCTTCTCTTACCTGATTTCTTGGGATTTGCAGAGATATATTGCCCACTTTTATCAATACCTGAGACAATAGGTAATGATGAAATTGCAGATGAAGGCATAAATATGTAGGCAGTATAAACTTTGGCTTCTTTGCCTTATAGAAGACTGATTGATAGAAGACAGAGAATTATAAATACCTGATGGTAGCAATGTTCCTTAAATTCTATGAGAATTAAGTTACATACTGTAAAACATCATGAATGGATGATTAGATAAAATTAAGATATAAGATATGAATTTGAGAAAATCAGTTTAGGATATATGATATTACTAGAAAAGATATAAATGAAAAACAGTTACTTTCATGGATAATTAGGTAAAGCTCAAATTAGAAGATAAATCACATCTGGAAGAGATGAATAAATACTTCAACCAAATAAAAAAAAATGATTAAACTAGTAATCTAAGTAGAGATAGAAGAACATGTACGATAGTCTTACTATAAAAAAGAAAAGGAGATTTGATTGGTTTTAGTTTGAGAAGTGATATTGCTAGGTTAATAGTGGCAAAAACTGGTATATATGACCACAAATACTTGAGAGACTACTAATATACTAGAGTTATATATGATCATTGATTTGGTTGACTCATTATGCCAAACTTGTTACAATTTCTAATTTTTTACCATATATATGTGATTTCCATCTCATATTTCACTTCTCTTATGATAATCTCCACTTGATAAAATTTTGTTGGATGCAAAATTTAGTTCTCATAAACTTCTTCTTCATGCAGTTAAAACTAATGATGGAGCAGATAGAAGAACTCCAGAAAAATGTAAGCTATTTCATCCTCCCTACTGGCTGTTTCTCAGGAAGTACATATGATTAATGTTTGAGGGAGTACAATTTCAGATGTTTTGTCGCTGACCATACTGTGTGATCTTTATTGTCTCTATTATTTTCAGCTTAGAATCCTTCTTGTCTTCATCAATGTATACCATTCTTCTAAACTATACCTACTTGCTTTCACTGTCTTGATTTAAATGAAAGCACCATTTTGTAGATTAACATGACATTGTGTGTGTGCGCGCATATACTTCATACTGCACATGAACCAAAACCTTTCCTCAACTTAATTAGCTTCAAGCTCACATGTTTACTGCAGTTAGAATCACATAGCTATGCACAAAAAAGGTCTTATCAATGTGCTGTGTGAGGAGCTTTCACCTTGTCCGTTGCATTTGCAGGAGCGTCACCTGGAAGAGGTTAACAGGAAGCTAAAGGATAAGGTTCTCTTTGATCCAAGATGAGTACCTCCACATAATTCTCTTCGTGCACCTTGATGACCTACTAGCTATCGGCATTTGCTTTCAGCTTCAGGTAGAAGGCAGCTCTTCCACGGCCATTCAAAGGTGCTGGGAATCCAAATCCATGGCTGAAGGCAATCCCCTCCCCTTGCATCCTTGTCCTGCGAACGCCGCCTACCCTGAACCAACTCTGCAGATTGGGTATGAGCTTTGTCTCTCCAGGAGCTTCGAACAACATGGAATCATCTGTTGATTCTGTGCTTCTACTCCTTCGTAGGTATTATCAACATTTTGGCCGCCCTGAAGCTGCCACCACAACGGGCGCCGCTGGGGAGAACAACGTCATGGTGGGCTGGCTTCGTTGAAGACACGCAGCAGATCCTATATCATGGACGATTCATATCACTCCGCAGCAGAAGTCAAGCTCATCACTCAAAACCTGAGTCTATCCTTGCTCTCTGCTCAACCTGGTTCTATCTTGTGTCTGTATCATCAGTATTTCCATTTCCTCGGCTTCCTCTTGTCTCAAACCTTATGAAATCTTAGAATAAGCATGGAAGGACATTCTACAGCCTCTGATCCACATATTAGTAATGTGGTAGGTAATATTAGGCTCATTTTTTTCAATATTATCGTGCCGAAGAATGAAATACTACTCTCGAGACATACTGATTGTTTCTTTAACTATTAACTTCATTTTTCGAATTTTCTTACTGTTCTAAACATCGAAGACATATTTGCAACATAATGGAGCAATCTCCAGCTGCTTTTGTAAATATTATTCTAATAAATAATATTATTATATAGTTCTATTTCATACAGATTTATTTGGGTATCGAGAAAATACTAGGTGGTATGTGTGGCTCTAATTTAGCCACGTGTAGTAGGAAGAGGTGGAATGCTTTGGGCGTTATTGAAGACATTGTGCGGGTCAATTTGGGTCTTCGCCTTCACCAGCCGGTCGTAATTCCCCAAGAAGTACCGCTCCCCCCACACCCGAGCCTCACCCACCGCATTCCGGGGCCCACCTCCGCTCCAGTCCACCGTCCCCAAATCCAGGTCGACGTAGTTCACGTACGCCGCCCGGGGTTTCTTCGACACGTATCGCCCCATGTACTCGTAGAACCCTCGCAGCCACGCCACGTACCCCTCCCCCGTCTCCTCCGCGCTCCAATCCACCATGTACTGGATCCCGTACAGGTTCCCCCCTCGGTGAGGGAACGCTATCCGATCGCTTCTCACCCTCCCCATCTCCCCGCCGTATGGATCCAATATAACGTACGCTTCTTCCTTCTTTGATAGCCAATCAAGGGCTGTGATCAGCCCATTTTTGCCGATCGGGGCCCGCACGTAGTCCGACTTGGCTTTGAAGAATGCCCTCCCCCGCGATCTGCGGCTCGTCAGGTCCGACACCGAGTCCAATCCGGCGAATCGGACCGCCGACTCGATCCAGCTCACCTCGTCGCAGTCCGACTCCGCCAGTCCCAGCTCCGGGAATCGCTGACTCAGTATGGAGATCGCCGCTCCTCTCGGGACGAGGAAGAAGCCCGTGAACGAGGCGGAGACGTTGCCGCCCCCTGACCCGGCGATGTACACGGACAAGTACAGCTCGTCGGGTAGACTCGGCGCCACGTACTGCCACTTGTGAACCAACTCGGCTACCGAAAGCGTCGGGCCGGACCGGGTGGGGGTGCACGCGGTGACGCGCTCCGGGACAGGGACGAGTCGCAGCTTCCACGCGTAGATGGCGCCCCAGCTGCCACCGCCGCCGCCACGGATCGCCCAGAAGACGTCCTCTCCCATCGACTCCCGGTTCAGGACCCGGCCGGAGGAGTCGATCAAGACCGCGTCGAGGACGTTGTCGGCGGCGAGTCCATACTTCCGGGAGAGAAGCCCGAACCCGCCGCCGGAGATCTGTCCGCCGCTTCCGACAGTTGTGCACGACCCGGCGGAGAAGGCGAGCGACCGGTTCGATGAGGCCACGGCGTAGTATATCTCCCCCACCGTAGCGCCGGACTCAGCCCAGGCGGTGAGGGAGTCAGGGTCGACTCGGACCTTGTTCAGGTTCATGAGGTCCACGACCGCGAAAGGAACGTACGGGTCGCTGGTGTAGGACAAGCCTTCATAGCTGTGGCCGCCGCTTCTCACCCTGATGGCCAAGGAGGCCTTGCGCAGGCAAAGAACAGCGTTCCGTAGATCCTCTTTCGTGCATGGGAGGATTATAGCGCTGGGTTTGGGGGTGTCAGGGCCAGCGAAGCGAAGGTTTCGGATGGAAGAGTTGAGGAGGAGGGAGTAAGCAGCGGAGGGTGGAGACGAGGAGACGGTGAAGTTTCGGACACCAGAAGACCGGAGGCACGAGGTGAGAATTGAAGTGCTCGTAATGATTCCACCAGCAGTAGTAGTATTGACCTCCGAGTGGATGATGGTGAAGAAACAGGAGAAGAGGGAAACACCGAGGAAGAGGACACGGTGGTTTCTTTCCATGGTGGTGGTAAGGATGAGAGATAAAGAGGAAAGAAGCGAGTTTATAGAGAGAAGTGACCTGCGCCGTCGCATTGGACGGATACAGCACACTATCAAATGATTTGAGTAATCCAAGAAGGCTTTTCATGTCTTCCTGAACAATGATTGGTAGCCTTGCCTTGGGTCAACGAGAAGAAGCGTGACAACTGCGGCCGAACTCGGCGTCTTCCTCGGTGCGTAAAGCTGAAGGATGGATTCTCTTTGAGTCATCTCGAAGCCGGCTGGGTTGACATGGGAACAAGAACAAGAAGAGGGATGAAGCCGGCCTGTCGCAGTGAGAGGTCAACCCAAGCTTTGATGGGAATGAAGGCGTGCAGAGAGGATAAATGCATTGGTCCAATGGCATGATGTTGTTGAGATTTCATATGGGATAGAAAGAGACAGGCTTCCGGTACTTTTACTTTTCTCCTAGAGAGGTCCACGGATCCAATTTTTCTACGTTGATGATTATGATAATGTTTATTGGTCAAAGTAAAGTTCAAATCAAATTAGGAGATCAAACGTCTGACTGTAATGAACTATGAGCTTTTTCTTCGCCCTCCAGTGAAAGAAATCCTAGCCGAACTTGTTTACTACTTCCAAATGCCACGACCTTCGAAAAATTGATCTGAGTCGGACCGATTTCACCACGTACTAAAATTGATCGTATCAAAAAATAAAATTGAATTTTATGTTTCAACCAGAAAACATTGTCTTAACAAAAAACACTCATATTCTTTACTATATAAGAATTAAGAATTTTCTTCGATTAACCCAAAGCCAAACCAGAATCCTTGTGTATTCTTATCACGTTAATTCGAAAAAATTATTCTCAGATGTATTATATAACCCTAAATGCACTCAGAAGTGTTTTACTTTTATCCTTTGTCTCTAAGACCAACCAAACCTTGTTTGTCGTATCCAATGAGAAGGATAAGATGAAATTTTTTTTTTGTCATTTATGATACAAGCTTTCTTCTCGTAATTAATGATAAGAAAGACAATCACAAGCTTCTTTCTCACTATTTACGAGGAGAAACATAATCCTAAGTTTCTTTTGTGCTCTTTACGATTAAGTATAAAAGCTCACCTTTAACATAAAAAATGAGAGAGGACTTCTCTTGACTACTCGTGTCCATACTCATATATCTCGAATTACTAACTTAAGTATCAGAGGGATTGGATCGGGAAACCTTTCTTAACCTTGATTATCGTATAGGTGATACCTCAGAAGCACGACGTTTCCACCTCGAAGACACTTTGGACAATCCTTTGTATATGAGTCCGAACCACGTCAGGCTAACCAGGATATCAACGATATTTTTTCCTAATATTTTGACGCTAGAAAGAGGGTCTGATATCATATGAGTGTCCACTCACTAATCCTCTCAATGAATACTCCATTGAGAGGCAACTGTCATCCTCCGCACATATGGATGCATCAACTTTGACACAGACAACAGCGAGGTACTGACGTCTGTTCAATGACCTAGGTCCCTCACCCCGAGGGACAAACTTGAACCACCTGCTCATCCCTACCAAGGTGTTCCTAAACCTCACTCATTATGTGTAGATACTCATGGACATGTTGTAAGCTATCACCTCGCTCTTGTCTCAACTAGCCTAATAAAAGGTACCACCATCTCAGCCATGATTGACACCTTAACCACCACTAGCACCAATACATGTTGGAATCCCCCAACGAGTCACCCAAGGTCCACGGAATTGCCAGTCGAAGGAGCATTCCACTCCCCAACGCTATTGAGTTCAGTGCACCATCGCACCACCACTCTACTCTGCCCAAATTTGAGATCCAATCAGTGAATTCAATGAATGATTCCTTGAGGGTCCAATTGAGGCAAATGGACCAATGCCAATATAAGATGTAGGGAGAGTTCCAGCAATTCAGGGGGGAGAATCTAATCGATCCCACCTCGGGTCGGTCTCCATTCACCCAGAACACATTGCTGCCTCTCATCGCTGGAAGCCTTTAATGATAGTACCGACCCGGTTGAACACATTGTTGCCTTCCGCACCTAGATGTCTCTTTACGGCATCTCGAACGCTCTAATGTGATATGCATCCCCAACAACGCTGAGAGGCCCGATGCAAGAGTGGTACATTCATCTGAAGCCACTCTCGGTCATCTCCTTCACTCAGCATGCAAAGGAGTTTAAACCATACATCCTTGGGAATGTACACCCAAGACCATTGGTGACAATGTTGCTCAGACTCGAGCAAGGGGGGAAGTGACACTCTATGACTTCATCGCTCAATTCACCAATAAAATATGAAGTGTGCATGAAACCCATCCATCACTCGTGATTCAAGCCTTCATGATGGGGCTCAGGCCCTCTCGCCTTTTTTAATCATTGGTGGAGAGGTCATCAACGATCGTTCTCGAGGTCCTCCAGATGACCAATCAATACCTAGTCGTCGAGGCGATGGTCTTAAGTAAGCGTGAGCGAGGAGATGCATAAGAAGTCATGGTAGGAGCGACCACCATTAGTTTCAACCTTAAGGTCACCTTGGCAAAGAAAACAAGATCAACTTGAGTTGCCTCTCTCGAGACCTGAGTTGACCCCCCTTAACATGATAAGAACCGAAGTCTTCTTATAGATAAAGGAAAAAAGATTCTTGAAAGACCCTTAATTAGTGAAGACACTATTGGAAAAGATGGATAGATTGAAGTATTGCCACTTTCACTATGACTATGGCCATGACATGAAAAACTATCATGATATGAAGGAACAAATCGAGGAGCTCATTCATCAGGGGCACCTTGGGAGATTCATTCGAAGACCTTAGGAACCTTTGCCTTGACCTCGGGGCCCAATGGAGAGACAGATCAATGTCATCATTGGGAGACCTTCCTCGGAGGGGATAGCACCTCAGGTCGCAAAGCCTAAGCCCGAACCACCATCAAGAAGTGCCCAAGGTTAGAAGATGACTCAAAAATAACTTTTAAGGACAAAGAGATGGAGTACCTCGACCCAAACCATGATGACGCTCTGGTGGTCTACATAAGAATGATTAACACCTAAGTAAATAGGTCATGATTGACGTAGGTAGCTCTATCGACATCTTTTACTTTGACGCTTTTCAAAAACTAAGGCTCTCGACTAATTATGTCACTCCCGTAACTTCTTAGCCAATGGAGTTCATAGGTGACTCCATCTCCCCTCTTGGGACCATGAGCCTGCATGTTACGTTCGGCGATGTACCCTGCTCCAAAACAATGATGACCAAGTTTATAGTGGTTGACATCCTCTCGGCTTATAACATGATCATAAGTTGACCCATACTCAATAGGCTGAAGGCTATGTCATCGACATATCACATAGTGATAAATTTCCCAACAAGAATCGATGTTGGGGAGCTAAGGAGCAATTTGAAGGAGTCTCGCCAGTGCTATCGGATGTTAGTCTCTTTATCAAAGAAAGTCTGACTTAAGGCACCACCGTTAGACCCTTGAGATTTCGCTAAGCCTCTTTCACATCCAAAACCAATGGAATTACTAGTTGAGGAACCTTTGGACAAGGCCCATCCTATTCGAGTTATCAAGATTATGGTGATACTCCCTAAGGAGAAGTGAATGCAGCTCGTCGACTTTCTTAGGGAAAATGGTCGATGTGCTCATATGGTTACTAAGAGATATACTAGGAATAGGCCCCGATGTTACCCAACACCATTTGAACATCTCCCTCAAGGTCCGACCTATGAAGCAAAAGCTTCATAAGTTCACTCCCGAATGCTAACAGGCAATTAGCAACAAGGTGGACAAACTACTAGGGGTAGGGTTTATTGTCGAAGTACAGTACCCTCAATGGTTTGCTAACATTGTATTGGTTAAAAAACCTAATATAAATTGAATAATGTATGTTGATTACACTAATCTCAACAAAGCATGTCCAAATAACAGCTACCCGCTTCCTCAGATCGATCAGTTAGTTGATGCTATCTCAAGCTATAGGCTCCTCACCTTTATGAATGAGTTTTTAAGATATAACCAAATAAGGATAGTGCCTTGGGATCATGAACATACCTCCTTTATCATGGACCAAGGCATATATTATTACAAAGTCATATCATTTGGATTAAAAAATGTGAGGACAACATACCAAAAGACGATGAATAAAAATGCTCAATAGGCTGAAGGCTATGTCGTCGACCTATCACATGGTGATAAAGTTACCAACAAGAATCGATGTCGGGGAGCTAAGGAGCGATTTGAAGGAGTCTCGCTAGTGCTATCTGATGGCAGTCTCCTTATCAAGGAAAGCATGACTTAAGACACCACCGTTAGACCCCCGAGATTTTGCTAAGCCTCTTTCACATCCAAAACCAATGGAGTTACTCGTTGAGGAACCTTTGGACAAGGCCCATCCTATTCGGGTTATCAAGATTATGGTGACACTCCCTGAGGAGAAGTGAATGCAACTCGTCAACTTTCTCAGGGAAGATGGCTGATGTGCTCATATGGTTACTAAGAGATATACTAGGAATAGACCCCAATGTGACCCAACACCATTTGAACATCTCCCTCAAGGTTCGACCTATGAAGCAAAAGCTTCGTAAGTTCACTCTCGTACGCTAGCAGACAATTAGCGATAAGGTGGACAAACTATTAAGGGCAGGGTTTATTGCCGAAGTATAGTACCCTCAATGGTTTGCTAACATTATATTGGTTAGAAAAGCTAATAGAAATTGAATAATGTATGTTGATTACATTGATCTCAACAAAGCATGTCCAAATAACAACTTCCCTATTCCTTAGATCGATTAGTTAGTTGATGCTGTCTCGAGCCATGGGCTCCTCATCTTTATGGATAGATTTTCGAGATATAACCAAATAAGGATAGTGTCTCGGGATCATGAACATACCTCCTTTATCATAGACCAAAGCATATATTATTACAAAGTCATATCATTTGGATTGAAAAATACGAGGACAACATACCAAAAGATGATAAATAAAATATTCAAGCATCAGATCGAGAGGGACATCGAGATGT